ACATACTTTTTGGCTACTCGGGGAAAATGTTTTCTTGTTATCCCGTTCATTACTGTGTTAGACTTCCTCGTTGTTTCAACTTACCAGAAACTGATTGAAATTCCATCACTTTTGTTGCATTTCAGGTACTCTGGTTACTTTGAAAGCTTTCCTCCGTACAAGCAGAACAAACAGTACTGGCAAGTGATCGCAGGTCGCCTCGCTTTCGTGTTCGTGTTTCAGTTTACAGTTTACGTCATCACCAGTTTCATTGCGTGGCTTGTCCCAGATGTTCCTAAAAACCTGGAGTTGAAGGAAAAGCGTGAAAAGCATCTTACCAAACTAACATTCAAGAAGAAAGGATACAGCAATAATGACAACGATCATTACAATCAAAGAGATGATGACATGCTGTAGTGACCCTGATATGACTTAACCAACGATGCCTAACTTTTCTCCTCATTCTTACTGATGGTCAGTAGCGAAATGCACGGACGTAAGACAGACAGTCTCAATGTTTACCTTTTACCAGATAGCTTTACTTGTCGACACGAAATTAAAGCTGTCCGGTATATCGTAAGAACAGTAACGACCAGGGACTGGAACAAGTTGTTCACACGGTTTATCGAACATCATAACGAGGCATTTCGCCGAGGGGGGTTTTTTGCAGTAAATCCCAGTCCTCACTCTTGAATATTAACTTTCGTCTCAGAGGATACCAGTCCTCGCGTCTACACCTCCGCTACGATCCGAATACCTGTTCACACGGCTGCACCAAAATGTGTTTCAGAACCTATCCGGATATATATGACGCTCCACTTTTGTGATCGATGAGGGGTAACTCCCTCCGTAACAGAAAAGGTGTCCAATTTACCCTTCCTTTGTGTGAACAGAAGCCCTATCTATCCCCCCGGGTATGGTGTTCGTGTTGGCGTAATAGAGAAGAGAAGTCGTTACGTCACGTTGTCATGATACAAAATTTTTGGGTGACAACAAACCGTTAAACCTCACTTAAAAAGTGAATTCGCACCGCTTCAAACTTCATCGATCTTATTCGATTTAATTTAGTTTGGCAAATGTTGGCGAAATTTCCTCGAGTTGAATCCGAAAGGACCGTATCTACGTTTAGAAGAGGAAAAAGACAACTTTTGTGTTGTGTTCACCTACTCCATAAAGCAAGCGTGTGAAATTAGGAAGTTTCATGTTGCAGGGGTGCAACGACGGCAAAGAAATGTACAAAAAAACGTGATGCACGTGCAAATTTGTTGTTTTGTCAATAAAAACCTATTTTTTTTTTGCCGTTCTCCTTCCTCTGCCTTCGTCGTTGGTTTTGTTGTTATCCAAAAATAGTGCTACCATGGTGACGTGACGTCATACTTCTCTGTATAGTGTGAACTTAGCCGAATTTGCAATGTTTGTCTCACTTTTGTCATTTTTGTTATTTCAATAAAAGTCAGACAAAACATGACATTTTAATGTTAAAAATCAGAAAAACAAGTGAGGAATTCACTCATGTTAATTTCAATTTGTTTCGTTAGCGATAACAAACTCTACGTATACATCAAAGCAAATGAATTGTTAAATGAGTAATTTATGCATATAACGCAAGGACATTTATACTTCAATAATGTATTTTTGGTGCTCAGTTGCTCAAAACCAAATTTAAACGTTCATTATGAACTTAAGTTACTCTTTATACTGGAACAATAGAATTTCAGAATTACAAGCTGTATTAGTGCTATATTAGTGCTATATTAGAAGCTGTATTAGTGCTATTTCAATTGACCAGTGTTAACAGATATATTAACATTTATACTAGTCTCCAAGGCTAGGAGAATTATCGAAAAAGGAAGTCATATTGAGTTAATTATCGATGAATAATACAAGACAGCCTTGGAAAAGAGTATGACTTTCTTAACGTATCGATATTGATCTAGTGCAATGGAAATTTCCGAATTCCAATATCCCTAAATTCAAGAGAGAGTAAGCGAATAACCTTTCTTGTGTAAATGTAATTAAATTTAATTTGTACGAGAAGATAGAACTTTTTCATATTAAAGAAAAAAACAACGTTAACAACAGCAACAAAAACAAACTATAGGGGGGAGAAAGGAAGAAAGAAGCAAAAGGTGTTTAGGATAACCCAAAATTTGCTTATTTGAATTGGTTTTTTGTTTGTTCGTTTCGAAATCTAACGAGGACAGTATTGAAACATTGAAGTACTCATTTTAGACCAAAAGGCACCGAATCGATCGCACCATTTGAAGTTAATTTTTTTTCTAGTTTTGTATCGAGTGAAAAAATTTCTTGTTATCACAGAATCTTTTTTACTGAAACTGCTTATGATAAACATTTTACTCTCATGCGGATCAACACAACATTACTGTGAAATATGTCTTCTTGTATTATTGCAATACTGTAACTTATGTTGTCTTTGCAAAGCAATAAAATTTTCTTAAGTAAATACTGTTTTCAATGAATGCTTAAGGTGGTTTATATAACCAGACTATATTACTACAATAATACCGAAGAAATGTTTCGTAATCTTTTGAATTTGTTTCCATGAATTAAGTAATTGGATGGAACCCCTCCCCGGAGTTTTTGATATGTTGCAGTATTTTGAAACGATTTTACCTTTAGTGGAAAGCCTTTGATCTTCTTAACAAGCTGAGGTATATTTTAGGGGTGGTGGCGCTGCAGGAGGCCTGTGACTTCACCATCTTGGCTTTTACCAAGAAGTAGAAATCAGGTTAAAAACGCGAGAAATGTTAATTTTTTCTGCTTTACATAATGTTAATTTTTTTCTGCTTGACATGAAAAATAACACATAAGTAAGCACTTTGCATGATTTTAGCCACAAGATTTACTTTTATTGTTGAAAGAAGTAGAAGAAAAATGTATTTTCACCCAAAATTGGCTTGACCACCTGCTACTTATGACGTGATAGCTCGATTCGTGTTTCAGTTTACAGTTTACGTCATCACCAGTTTCATTGCGTGGCTTGTCCCAGATGTTCCTAAAAACCTGGAGTTGAAGGAAAAGCGTGAAAAGCATCTTACCAAACTAACATTCAAGAAGAAAGGATACAGCAATAATGACAACGATCATTACAATCAAAGAGATGATGACATGCTGTAGTGACCCTGATATGACTTAACCAACGATGCCTAACTTTTCTCCTCATTCTTACTGATGGTCAGTAGCGAAATGCACGGACGTAAGACAGACAGTCTCAATGTTTACCTTTTACCAGATAGCTTTACTTGTCGACACGAAATTAAAGCTGTCCGGTATATCGTAAGAACAGTAACGACCAGGGACTGGAACAAGTTGTTCACACGGTTTATCGAACATCATAACGAGGCATTTCGCCGAGGGGGGTTTTTTGCAGTAAATCCCAGTCCTCACTCTTGAATATTAACTTTCGTCTCAGAGGATACCAGTCCTCGCGTCTACACCTCCGCTACGATCCGAATACCTGTTCACACGGCTGCACCAAAATGTGTTTCAGAACCTATCCGGATATATATGACGCTCCACTTTTGTGATCGATGAGGGGTAACTCCCTCCGTAACAGAAAAGGTGTCCAATTTACCCTTCCTTTGTGTGAACAGAAGCCCTATCTATCCCCCCGGGTATGGTGTTCGTGTTGGCGTAATAGAGAAGAGAAGTCGTTACGTCACGTTGTCATGATACAAAATTTTTGGGTGACAACAAACCGTTAAACCTCACTTAAAAAGTGAATTCGCACCGCTTCAAACTTCATCGATCTTATTCGATTTAATTTAGTTTGGCAAA